TTTCTTTCTGATTTTTTGTGTTCTTTTTTTTTATTATTGACGGTATGCAAATTGCTTATAATACGTAATATTTTAGTTGTTATTTATATAATTGGTTTTATTTTTATTTTATAAATATATTATTTACGTTTTTCCCTTTTCCTCTCTCTATCTTTAGAAATATCCATTAATTGTATATTTTTAAATTTATGTTGCTTCCGTCCGTACGTCACTGCAAGGGTGCCAACTGAAAACCAGTGTTGGGTTCTTATTGAGCCCAAGTTATACTGAGATGGCAACCCTTTTGGCATGGGTATGCTGTTATGTCAAAATTTTTAGTTGTTTAAGCACTTGTTTTTAATAATTATTTTATTTTTAAGAAATGTTTTAGTTCCTAAACTCAACATTGTTGAAACAATGAAACAATGAAACAATGAATTTATTTTTGCAAATAGGCCATAAAACGGCACTTTTACACGTCAATTTATATGTAAAAAACTAGATGAAGCCGGCATTTCCTATCTGACTACTCTGAGAAGAAATGCCGAAACAAACTCAGAGGTCAGTCTCTTTTCAAGTCCAGACAATGTAAAAATAACATAATGTGAGAGAACCGTGCAAGTTCATTCTGTAGTGGTCTTTTGACTGTGTTGTATTAGTTTGTTGTTTATTTTTTTATATTTTTGGTACCTTTTTTTTATTGTTGTATTATTTCTTATTTCTTATTATTGTACATAACTTTGCAATATTTTTTTTTCTTATTGTTAATGCCAAATAAATTAATAAATTATAAAAAAATATTTAATTACACTTACACGGTTGTCCCACCCCGGTTTTCTAAGTGGCCATGGTATCACTCCGGTCGAGTCGACGACCCATTTGTGCCGAAGCATGGCTCTCCTACACTCAAAAGTAAGTTTTTTTTTAGTTTTGTGTTGGTATTACGGTAAAGTGATGAATATTAAATTACTTGGTAGTTGTGTTTATTCACGTCATAAACAAATAAAAACGCCATAACAGACATAACTGAATGAACTCTTGAATTTTAGGATTTAATTAAACATTAACCTGCATTGTAACGTATATAGCTATGAATATCAAGGTAGAATGTTCTGTTTAACTGTAGTTAAACTGACAAGGAGACAGGCTAGCTCGTCGTCGTTAGCGTATGTGTTAACTAGGTGGCGAAGTTTAGAACATTGATTGGTGCAACCAGACCATGTCAATTTGCTGTGTTGTGGAGACGCTGTTTGGTCTCATTACAATGACAATTATTTACTTTCTTGATGTTATAGAAGCGTTGTCTTTTTCTGTATTTTTTGATAGGACGGTAAACGAGATATCGGATGGAACAGACAGACAGGCTACTATTCTATTTTGACGTTTCAAAAGTACCTATTTATCGTTTTAGTTGGAATAAATGATTTTGACTTTGACTTTGATCACTTAAATCATTTCTAACACTAGAGAAGTTGTGAGTGCATTGTCAGCCTTTTGTGAGCTACGGATTTGAGGAATTGCAATTGAATTGATTGAAAGGTGATTTAGGATAAGGGAGAGAATTAGACTGCAGCTTTACTCATAAGGAAAGGAAAAGAAAAGACTTACTCATAAACAAATTTAAAAGAATGCTAACAGATTTTATGGTTGAAAAGTACTATTCCGGTCCTATTCCGCCTAGTTCTTATTGTTCCTAGTCCTAGTCTTTTGGTGAATTCTTAATAGAGAGAATAATAAATAGTTATTATTAGAAATTCCGTTACATAAGATGCCCGATTTGATTATGATTTATTTTATTTTGACTGTATTTAATGATATTTAAAATTCAATTTGAGTGGTTAAAATCTAAATCTTTGTTAGTGCCACTTTACTGTACACTTTGTTATTTTCATGAATATAGAATTAAAATTGTATCCTTGGTTATACCGTCAGACTGTTTAGTGCATCTGTTAATACTATGAATAACTAGTTAAGTAAGATAATGACTCTGACTGGCTCGCTGGCGAGAATCCTCCTTGATTCGGTACTTTGGTTTTATCTGTTTGTCAAACTTCAAGTTAGCCGGACAGTTTGTCCTAGGTAAGGCAGATTTGATTGAAACTTTACAATGAAAGCAGAGCGCTTCTACTCATGAAGATATTATATTACGGAGTTTCTTGCTCAGTCTTCTCAATTCGCATCAATAAATTTGGAACAAACATCTAGCTTCACAGACGAACAGACTGACGGATTGTTATTCTATTTTGACGTTTCAAAAGTACCTGTTTATGGTTTAGTTGGGCTAAATGACTTTCACATTGACTTAGAACTCAATAAAATAATGTTTTTTTTTTTCGTTAATTAGCCATTAAACAGCTCTTTATTATAAAGCTGGAGAGTTTGTTTATTTGAACGCGCTGATCTCCAGGACTACTTATTCGATTTGAATAATTACTTTTGTGTCTTTAGTACATTTATGGAGGAAGGCTTTAGGCTGTAAAACATCACGCTACGATTTGTAGGAGCCAAACAGCGAGTGAAACCGTGCAACAGAAGCCAGTCATATATAAAAAACTAGATGAAGCCGGCATTTCCTATCTGACTGCTCTGAGAATGAATGCCGAAACCAACTCAGAGGTCCGTCTCTTTCGTCTCTGCTCCATCGTGTACATTAGTATAATGTACACGATGATTTCATAGTTCACGTTCGGCCCGAGGTCGCCACTTGACCACTTTCCGGTCAGTTCCGAGCCATTTCGCCTATACTTTGCCACTTCAAGTGGTATTGCCATTTTACAATTAGGGATTTTGTACCAACTTAAAGTGGAAATAGGACTTAAAATCTGTCTTAATGATTTAAAAATCAATTACAAATTAGTAATGGATCAAAAAAATCTTACTCATAGAAAATCAAACTTAATATTTAAATGCCAGTCATATGTGTTCCAAAAGGCACATAATTTTGTCGTAAGCATAAACCTAAAGCAGTTTACTGTGAAACGAAACGAATATCAGTGTTCAATATTAATAAATTGTAAGCAATGGACCAGGGTTTCATGAGTACGAAACGGTGCCATTACATTGGGGACGGTCCTAAGCAAACATGTACACTCGCCAATAACACAGTATTGGTTTAATGACAATTCGTTTGTTAATTGAATAGAATGCCGACCCTTTTTTATGTTGCACGCATTAATTTATTGTCAGTGTCATGCCTTTTTTGGTCCGAAGTCGGTTGAGGGTTGGTTCATTTATTTATTCTGAGTACATTATGTATCATATTAGCTTACAGACAACCCTTTAGATGTGTCATCCTGGCAAATATTGTTAGGGCTAGCTCAATATAGTACCCCGGCCTCGGCTTAGACTAGGAGCAGGAACAGGAAGTTTTTAGTCAGTAAGAGTCTGCTGCTTCCTTACGTCTCACCGTGAACGAAAAAGTAATTAGTGTTTTTCATATTAGTGTTACACTGTTCTCACATAATTGAACCAACTGTTTTTAAAAGGAATCTGTATGTGAAACTGATTTAAAAAGAGTAACCATGGAGTTTCTTGCTCGTTCTGCTCCATCGGAATCTACACTTTGGAACGAGTAAATAGCTTCACTAAGAGGAATGACCGACAGACTATCACTACATCTTAAAAATTTTGTTAGACGTTCAAAAGTGCCTTTAAGTGTCTAATTTTTTACTTTTTACTTTTTGACATTGGACGATTTTCCCCTCACAAAGAAAGGTGAAACTGTACTACTAGCGAATTGCACATAAGACATCTCAGGCCAAAAACATGAGTGTCAATACAGGTGTATACATATTTACATTCATTTACGTCATATTGTCAAATAAAATTTGACATAATATTATGTTTGTTGATATAAACATCAGCACGATATGTTTATACATTTTAAACTTTATTTCCTGGTTAAAAAGTCTTAAATCTATTGGTAGTTTTACAGAATAGAAGACATTGATGTGATGGTGCTGGTACACGTAACTAATGTCCGCAAAATATCGATCCTCCCAATTTATAATTCCTTACCTACGTTTATACCGCCCACGGCAAGTGATGAAGTGCCTCGTCCTTAGCTGGGACCGTACGACAAATAACAATTAAACTATAATTAACTTAACCCCAATTTACCTGGGAGTTTCTGTAATAGAGAGCTATTACTGAGTCCTCCTGCTAAATTGGTTACTTTTGTAATAGTTCATGTCAGGATTGGAGGCTTGTGAACTTGTAGCGAAGAACTTAAAAGTGGCCATTTTTGATTGGTGAAATCATTCAACATCATTAAATGAGCTCTCCCGCCCTGTATCTTGTAGACTAAAAACCACCTCGTGTTCCAACTTGTGCTCCTAGTCGAGGTAGCGGTAATTGGCAGCGGTATGACCTTATGTGATTAGGAGGAAATGCAAGAGTGGTTGGTATACATGGTTTAGAGAAAGAGAGGATCTGAATGAGAATAAGATTATGGGGAAAGTTAATTAAAAAGTTTGTGGTCCAAATCCTGAATTTGATTTTTGTAATAATTAGGTATATCTGTAGCTGTATTTAGGACTTCTTTATGTGATGAGAAACAAACAGACTGGTCACACAGTGGAAAGCGGTATCGGCGGCATTATGGACACTTGTGAAGCTACCAACATGTTTTCAGCTTTTTGAGGGTTACCTATTTGTGGATGAGAAAATAGGGCGAATTGGACCTCGATTAACCTCTTTGATATGGCGAGGGTTGTTTTAAGTCTGCTTTCTGAAAGGCGTAAATATCACTCTTGTCGGCAGCCGGCCCGTTGGTGCCAAAGGATGGCGTTCCCAAGAAGGCACGCACTCCAGCAGTGGATAATTTTTGGGCTATTGATTTTGGTGGTGTAAAGATAAGTCATCAATAAGTTTCTACACTCAAATTATATATTGATTTTAGTCTATTCCACTAGTTTTTCTTATTTTGACGTAGTTGAACAATTTTTAAAATGATTACAAATCCATGCACGACAATAAAAACACCATCTAACTACATTTATATATTTTGGTTAGTTTGTAAATTATACCTATCATTGAAAATACAAGGCATTAATTTTATAATATATTAGCCACTGAGCATGAAAAATTTTCTATATTAGCATGAGGTTTTAAACCAAAACTTGAACATATTTGAAAAACGACTAGGAAAAAAAGTACTACGATATGATAAAAATAATATTTATTTCATATTATTCTACATTATAATCTTCTTTGATTAATTCCGATCCTCGTTCACCCACCATTATGCTAGCTCCATTGATGTTTCCACTTATGGTCGAAGGGAATATCCCAGCATCAATCACACGTAGGTTGCTCACACCGTGAACTTGTAGCCTACTGTTCACTACTGAAGTACTAATATCAGTACCCATTTTACAGGACCCCATGGGTTGAGATGTTGAGGTTACCAAGTTTTTACAAATACATCTCCAATAATCTTCACTGTCTAATTCATACTCATTGCATTCGGGCACGTCCATCCTTCCCAAGAAGGCGTTGATCATCTTGAAATATGGGGTTTCCAAAATTTTCGTTGCCATTTTAATACCAGCTACAGCTACATCTAAATCTCTACTATCGTCGAAGTAGTTCGCGTAAATGAGAGGTGGATCTTTAGGGTCATTGGATTGCAAAGAAATGTTACCTTTGGAATAAGGATGCAAAAGAATCACTTCGAATAAATAAATTGCGTGATCTTCATTTAAAGCTGCAATTGAGGCTAGCACGGTATCATTGTAAAGGAAAGTTGTCTGTAAAGAGTTTTTAAGTAAAGTACTGTTTTTATCTACGATTGTAACACGAACCTCAATGTTCGGATAGCTAGCATTTTCGACTGTAGAATAAAATGCAGCAATATCTGATACAATACTGCTTTGTGCCAAAAATCCTTCACGTTTTGTAATATATTGAGTGATATCGCTTATGACTTCAAGCAATGATTTTTGTCCAGGAGCATTACCGTAAATTGTTATCGGTACTAAAGCGTGATCTTGAAGATTTTGTCCAACCATCGGAGAATCAACTAAAGTTTCTATATCTTTTGATTCAAGATGTTCCTTTGGGCCTACTCCAGACAGCATTAAGAGTTGCGGGGAACTCACAGAACCAGCGCTTAAAACTACTTCTTTCGACGCATAATAAACCTTTTTTTCTCCATCTTTCTCAACTTCAACACCATATGCGAACAAAGTGTCGTTTATCAAAATTTTGGTGACTAAACTATCCTTCATTATGACTAAATTTGTTCTGTTTTTGGCTGGCTGTAAATACGCCTTATTTGTGCTCTGTCTTACTCCGTTGGTCGCCGTAGCCATAAGCTCGCCTGCGCCTAAGAAATTTCTTGCTTTGAAGTCAGAGGCAATTTCGAAACCGATTTTATGCCATGCGTCAATGACATAATTTGTATAAGCGCGCTGTGTGTGGTTAAGCTTATTTATTTTTATAGGACCGTTATTACCGTACAGATCTTTAGTATTTGGATTTTGTAGCATCATTTCATTTCGAAGGTTCTCTAATTTCTTGAAACAATTTTGCACATGTTCTACACTCCATTCTTCGTTTCCTGCATCGTACCAGTTTTGGTAGTCTTGGGAACTACCTGGGGCATAAGCTAAATCATTTATGCTGCTGCTCCCTCCGAGCATCTTTCCTTTTCTCCATGCTACGGAACCATTAATGAGGCCTTGACTTGTTATACCATTATTTACTGTTGTATATTGCCAGTCATTTTCAGTTCCATACATAGTTGTTTCCAGTCCAGGTACCTAAAATGTCAAAATTAACGATTAATAGATGTAGATACTAAGAACGTACAATACATTGAAAATAAATGTAATGTATTAAAATTGCAACGAACATTTAGGACACTCCATATTTCAAGATGATCAGCGCTTTTTTGGGAAGAATGGATGTGTTCCAGTATGAATTTGGTAGCGATAATTCCAAACTTAAATTTGAGGGATCTTCTTCACAATGACAGAAGTACTGCAATACGATTTTTTTTAAATGATGACGTGGTTTGAAAATATGATAGTTGAATACTAAAGATACCTACATCGGATGTAAGTGGTGGATCGCCTCCAGCCTCTAGAAGTAAGATTTTCCATTCCTCTATTTTGCTTAATCTATTTGCAACTACACTTCCCGCGGAGCCCGCACCAATTATGATGAAGTCAAACTCATTAGAATCTAAAACAAAATTTAAAAAAGGAAATGGTGGTACATATTTTGGCACTTCTCGAAGACATTTAGGTAAGGAAAATTATTTTGTCGTGGATATGATAATATACATGCATGTGGATAGATGAAATTTATAGCTGCTTTGAGAACGATTTGAAATTGGATAATACTGATTGTCGTCAAGCCAAGTAGGTTGTTTATGGTAAGTAAAATAATACGTACAGATACCAAAAAGATGGTGATGAAGATGAGAAAAGCTAACAAGGATAATGACAAAAAATGGCTTACCATAGTTGGTTGAAACGTCTGGCACCGAGTTGTCATCAAATAAAAGCAAATTAGCAGCAGCAAAACACTGAATTACTGCTGCTATGGAGCTGGAGGTAATTCCAGCAGTTCCAACCAATTGCGACCAACACGGAGAAGTGGTGATGCTGGAAATATATTACAATTAGTCGGAAGTGTAAAGTTTAATCGCTCAAAACCTAAGCGGGCACCAGTGTCCTGTCTCACTCACTCCATTATAACCCATCATTTTGATACTTAAGGACTAAATGATAGAAATTAATGAACTCAATTTATCAAAAATAACGACTTAAGTACGTGAATCAACAGAGAAAGCAGTCGGCTGCGCGACGTTGCTGCTTCACGAACGCTGCTCATGAATAAGGGTCCCGTTGTAAGTTGAAACTAGTAGAGCTTCTCTGAGTTAATTCACGTGAGTAAGATGTTATTTTCAATAAATTTTGTGTCTAACTATTAAAAAAATATCACGATAGTTTTCAAATAGAATACAGATTTTGAGGTTATTTTATGTTAGGTAATTAATGGTATAAGAAATAAAATAATGATCACAATTAGAACTTACTTTAGCGACATTTTTCTGGACTATTACACTTTGTAGATAAACATCGATACTTTATATATGTACTCGCCAGTCCACACTATTGGTATTATGACGAAATTTTGTTTTAACATTTATAGATTATGGTTGTTGCCAAAATGGTGAATATCGATATAAATTGAGATCGATTAGTGGATTTTTAAGTATTAATTAATTTTATAAATTCCTGGTTTTTTGCCAATGTTGTTATTTTACTTGTGTATATGTATACGATTTGACTATTGGCATTCCTAAGAACCATAAAGCCATCTTATTACAATTTCTGAAGCTATGAAAAATACATTTTAAGGACAATTTATCAGGACCTTGGCTTAAAGCAGTTACAATGCTAGAGTATGTGTAGCATGCAGCTCGTCATGAGACGAGATTTAATACTTTTATAAACACAGTACATATTTTGTATTTAATATTTTGGGATTATCAGAATTTTATCGACATTTTTCATTTTCCTCTTAGATCTCCTCCTCATTATCAAAAATTACAATTCCTAGTATTCCTATGTTATTGTTTAATCAGATGGTTAACAATGTGCAACGTAATATCGTTGTCAAATTTGTAGGTATAGTTTAAATATTGTATTTACATAATTACTTTTTCCTCTGCAATAATCGCACCTGCATTAATGCAAAGGTACTTTGTTTTTTCTACATTACGTTAATTATTTTATATATACCTAACATAAAAACTAGCTTGCTTATCACCAGGTAAGCAATCGGTGCCGTCCATTAACAATTTCTCACGATGAAAGGAAAATGAAAAACTATGGGTTAAGTTTAAGAATACAATGTGGGAAAGCCATGTTTTGGTACGAATGGGGCGGCTTAACCAGAATGATACCACGGCCTCACAAACAACTGGCGTGAAACAACCCCAGCGGCGTGTTTTGCCATGTGTGTGATACTGGAGGAACCTTCCCTCCACCATTCTTCCCCAAACATCGAATCCCGAAAATCCCTTATCCCCGGCAACGCCCTTGCAACTCTCAGATGTTCCGGGTGTCCACGAGCGACGCCGAAAGCCTACGTACCAGGTAAATTAATCCCTTAGGTTATTTGCCTGCGTATAATGGGTAAAAAAAATTAGACCCATATATACAAAGGCGGGTCTGCGGTCAGCTCGCCGCCCGACCAGAACCAGGCCCGAGCGTACGGCGCGTAGCGTTCCACGCGCGCCTCAAAGAGCCAATAGACCACCACAGACGGGGCCCTATAGGGCTGATGTTCAGCCGGGGTTGCGGGGTAAGTGCAATGAGGCACCGCGACCTCGGCCCAGAGCAGGAGAAGGAACAGGGGGGTTTTTAGTCAGTAAGAGTTTGCCACTCCCTCCCGCCCGGCTCTGGGCGGGAGAAGTCATTTGATGATATTTCCCTCACAAAAAAATATATGTATACAAAGGCCTTTCAATTGCTATTAGTGGAAAAAAACTTATAGATTTATATATTCAAGTTAAGAATGCTAATCCTTCGTATGAATAATTCGAAACTACTCACTCAACGCTCTATTTTAAGCAGAGACACCAAAAGACACTCAAAGTCCAACAAAATCACGATGTTACAAAACAAACCAATTTATCTCTAAATTACGGACACCAAACAAAATATCCAGAGAATTACATATAAATAATGCAAAAACAGTACGGTTTGGTTGTAAATCCGTTCTAATCGGTCCCGCAAGAGTTCTGACCCGAATTCCGGGTACCTTTGGCTATTTTCACATGATTACAGCACCGAAGATTATATACAGCGATGTTTGGGGTTCCACGAGCTGACTCAGGAACTATTGGTCCTAAGTAAACGGGTTGGTTGGCAACCCGTAAATATTTTAACAATAGAGAATAGAGCGAACGTAGCGTAATCTTCGCAAACATGAATGACAAACGTTTGTTTGGTGCAAAAGTTAATTTTTGGTTTGTTTGTTTTACGATGCTGGCCGTAGATTTGGTACAGTCGCCATTATCTGTGGGGCTGGTCGTTCATCGGCATTGTTTGTGGCAACAGGTAAAGTATAATAAATTAGCATATAATAGAGCAGTGAGTGTTTTGTGGTGTTGTTTTACTTAATTACTATCAGCTTTATTACTGCTTGCGCTTGTAACTTTTGCAAAATTGTGCCGGTTTACGGTTTCTATGGAAGTTGGAAGCAACATTGTGTTAGCAAAGTATCCATGGGACAAAGGTGTAGTGACGTAATGAAAAGATTAAAATGTTTATTTCTACCTACCTCTACTGGGAAAGGGCAGGTGTGGTGTTATGATGAAGTTGAAAATTTTTCACCTGCCTAGAGACGAAGTAATATACAACAACATGACCCTTTGTTCTAAATAAAGTTTCGACCACGGCCGCGGTCGGTCGCGACCACAAGTTACGTTAGCGATACGTGGTTGGCTAAACCCTTGTGGGACGCCGCAAATCTCTGAAGCTTACATCTACTCCCGCGAATATCATATTAAGCTGCTTTAGTTGCGTGTTCCGGACTCTTTTTAAAACAAATTAGTGGTATACAGAATTCTGATGGTATTTTGAAAAGTTGCGTAGTAGATGATTGCAGTGCTAGTTAATTAAGTTGCGAAGTTCGTATGATATGCAATTACTTGTTACTGGCTTTGTTGTTACAGTTATGTGATTATATTGATATACTATATTTTTTTGTAGAGGGCAGAAAATCTTATAATAACTAGCCTTGCCCTGTGTGGGGCGAGAGTGATTGTCAGACTCTTACTGACTAAAATACCTCGAGTTCTTTCTCCTGCTCCAGGCTAGAGCCGCAGTACATTTTTACGCTTGCACCTTCAACTCCGTATGAACATCAGCTCTGAAGGGCCCTATTTGTGATGGCCTATTGAAGAAAAATTACAATATTGAGTGAAAACACAACTACAAGCTATAGATTTTAACTATTTATGACTAGATAAATGTATAACCTTTTTAGGATTTTTGGCAACACAGATCGCGTATTTAGTATGCTCAAGGTTACAGTTTGGTGTAAAAAGAACCAAATTACTTTTTGGTTCAGAATAAAAATGTAAGTTTATAGCAAAAGTTCAACTCAAAATGTCGTTACAAAATGTGTACATATGATATTCAATATCAACGTTTATGACCACAAAGAGGTCAATTGTAGGACCTGATCTGCGGTCAATCGGGACCGCAAACAATATAAACGATACACGATCGCTATCATATGACTTTGGGTCGCCCTTGTGGAACCCCGCAAACTTCGGACCTTTAGCTCGATCAATGAATTGCTTGTGACCTCTTTTGCAAGTTTAAACATGTTTTAGGGGTTTGTTTGATGGAAAGTGTGAACAAAATTTGATAGCCTATAAATTTGCTATCCTATTTTTTGAATAGCTTCTCTTGGGTCATTAAATAAAAAACGTCAGACGTGGATTTTCTCCTGTGTCGTAGATGCCTTTACAAACAAAATTTCCCATACAAATCACACGGTACAAAACAACCATTTGTAGATCACATAATGATTTGTTCCACAAAGTTGTTGTTGCCACCAGTGCGATAAAAATAACTCGACTGCTACTGCACAGTTATGCACAGCTTGGATGAGCAACTGACTACTGTGCAACGTTTCGCGGTTTCGATCTCGCACGAAAGAATACTTCGTATCACCTCCTAATTTGTAATTCGGTGTCTTGTGTGACGTAAATGAGAATGTGCATGTTTGTTACAGCGTCCACTACAAATACAAAAATTTACTGTAAGGTAATGTTAACAAATATTATTTTGCAGCTGTGTTTTAGCCCAAAAATGTACTGCGACCTCAGCTCGTAACAAGAGAAGGTACAGGATGGTTTTCAGACAGCAAGAGTGTGAAGCGAGAGTGATGCGACACAGGGCGTGAGAAGTGATTTGATGATCTCCCCTCCTCAAAAAATGGCTACAAGGTGAAAAAATTTCAACTTTCAACTCATACTGGTTTAATGCTAAGCACTATTTGCACGGATTTTGATCACATTGGTGTGTTATACAAACAAATGCATTTATAACCAATGGAAGAACTATGTAAGTACTAAAAGGCATTTGTTCAAATGAGTGGCAAAAACGTAACACACTCATGTCTTTTATTTGTTTATGGCTAATAGTTGTAAGTGTATGAGTCTCAAAAAGATTTTGTACTTACAAGTTTTAAATTATAGTAGTGTTGTTCACAAACTTAAGAATTGGAGAGAGGAGTCTTGTAGTTATGGTAATCCCAAGGAATAAATTCTGGGTTTATTAATTCATACCGATGTTGGTGAATCGACCATAACTTAGGTTCTCTCCATAATTATATTGAGAATTTAAAATCCAAAAATCTTATATCAATTTCAACGTCACAAGATTTGTAAAATGAGGATAAATTGTGAAGTACTTTATCATAGTTGCTAAACAGATGTCTACAAGAACAGTAATTGCAAATGAGCAAAAGTGTTCTAAAATACTCTGTAAACTTACCTAAGATTAAAATGTAAAAACAAAAACCCACAAATACCTACAAAAAAGATGATTTCATATGTGTTCGATGTGAAACCAAATAGTGGATTAGTTTAGGAACTTCTATATAAGATGGCGTTGCATGTTCACACCCGATAGTATGAGTTCATGGACAATTAGACTTTTGATTGAGTTTCAGTGTGCAATAAACATCTAGTACAGTGTCCAGTGTATTATTAACCCGAAATCCGGGTTTTAATATGAGCTTCGAATTAAAAAAAAACATGCTAATTATTCAAGCTTATCTTACTTATGTTTTGTTGCTTGTTTCTCAACCAAGCCAAAACGGCTGGACGAATCTGGATGAAATTTGGCACAGGCATAGAATACACTCCGGAATAGGATATAGGCAACTTTTTATCAACATAATATGGGGGCGAAGCCAGGGGCCGAAGCTAGTAACTTATGGAATAATAATATAATTATATTATCAGCGATAAGTTTTCCCAAAAGACTGAGTTTTATTCTGGAACTTTCTTTAGAACAACGTTCGTGACTGTCCTCGTATCTAATCTAGATTAATCTTTGGTATTACCCGATCTCT